CTAGTAGTGAAATTTACACGGATATATATTTATTTGTATATAAATATAATTTATTTGTAAGTTATTATCAAAAAATTCAAGTAGTTTAGTGGTTGGAGTATCAGCCTCCAACTCTAAAGTACTTGGGTTCGAATCCTGCCAATGACAATTCTCTTAAAAATTAAAAAACTTCTAAAAAATATAATATAAAGAGATGGAGGACCTAATAAAAATATAATATGAAGAGAGGGGAGACTTCTAGATAAATAAAAGGGGGTAAAGGGGTTGTAAATAAATAAAAATTATTAATTTAAAAAATCATACTTTCAACGTCGGTTCTAATAAACCGACGTTGAAAGTCGACTTATAACTTGTATATTAGATAGCGGTTCCCTTATAACTGCTATCTAAAGTAAAAACTTTAACGTCGGTTTTTTAGAACCGACGTTGAAAGCTTTATTTGTAGTAGTGAGAACCAGTGAAGTGAAACTCATTTAGGAAAGGGGAAAGAAAAAATTCGGTGCAACAAAACACAAGAGTCACCTCTCTCAAGTACTTGAGAAACTACTCAAATAGGTTCTCTTATACCACACTAAAAAAAAAGAGAGAACCAAGCAGATCGCATAAAAATTTTCGAAAGAGAGGGGTTCATCAATACGAATTACAGGGAAAAGCCAAGTCTGAAAGGAAGAAATTGGGAATAATAGATGTGGGTGGAGCTATCAAAAGAAAGAAAGGAGTTATGGTTCAACTATTCCATTATTTTTGTTTTCATTGTCAATTTTCTCTTTGGAGTTTAGAACTTTGTGCATCCAGAAAAATCATGTATTTCTTCTTTAGTCAAACTCCATTATAACCTTTTCAAGACCTTGTGACCCTCTATTTTTTTCTTTCAAAAGTGACAATGGAAACAAGATGTCAATACTTATGTTCATAGAAATAATGTGTGATTGAGAGAAACACTCACCTAGAGAGAAACATTGTGAGGATTAATTTCAAGCATTGATCCATAGTGCTCAAGTGATGATATGTCTTACAATTCTTTGGTTACACGTGGTTGAGTATGTGGGCATTTCAAGTGAGTAAAAATCAAGCGGGAAAAAGGATGAGAGGTGTGCTCGGAAATTATTTCTTTGGGAACTGGAACTTGAGTTATGATAATCTGTGTCCGCATACTCGCATCATTTGTGTTCATTGAAATTTCCTTGCTTGAGGACAAGCAAAGACTTAAGCCTAGGAGATTCTAATGCATGTTTATTTTACCTCACATTTATAGATTAAATTAGGTCAATTGCATGCATTCTTGTAACATTTAAACAATGTTTTCATGCATTATCGTTGCATTTAACTTGTAGTGTAGTTTCTTTGTTTTGTTGAAAAAACAGGTGCAATTAGAACAAATTTTGTGGGGCTTACGTAGGCTGGCAGTGGAATCTTTTCTTTTCTTTGCTATTGGGCTTGAGCTGGAAAAGGAAAAGGAAAAGTCAGGAGTAGCTGAAAGAAGGGCTGACATGGAAAGTTTTAGGAAGGAGTTAAAAGCTGGAGAGAGAGCTGAGACGGGGGAGGGCGTACAAGGCAGCATACAGAGTTTTAGGTTTTTAGTTTTTTTTTTTAAGCTTTTATGGAAAGTTAAATTTGTCCCTATGTTAAAGGATTGATGTAATATTCTGTAAGACAAATTCTGAACCTATTTATCTTGATGCAGTATAATTTCATTTACTCCAGTATCTTATCTATGGTTTTTTATGTTTAATTTTAAGCAGTTATATTTAGAAAAATTGACATTGTTTATGTTGATAGATAAGATAAGTTAGGTTTTCGTTTAATTGGAAATTTATACAAACTTAACTAGTTTCTGTGGAGGAAAATATTAATCATCCAAGTTTCAGTGAATTTTTCTTTTTCCAAGGAATTGGAAAATTAAAAGTTCGGTGAATAATTTTGCTTACCTAAGGGATTAGGAAGTGCATAACACTTTTAAGGCTAGTGGGTAAATTTAATTATTGCATCAATTAAATAGGCTAGGAATTTGTAAGAAGGAATATGAAATCAATCCTCTGGCATATATTTTACTGCAAAAAGAATTAACTTTTTTGTTGTCATTCTTTTGATCCTTGATTATTTAAACTTTGATTACTCAAACTTAGGAAAAATTAATGATATGGTATTCAACAAATATTCAATCCCTGAGGACGATAAAATGACTACTTTTGTAACAATTGGTCTGCTTACCAAAATATACATCACTCAGCCAAGAGAGTCCCACCTCCATGCTGCTCATTACTTACTTCGCTATCTAAAAGGCACTCCTGGACAGGGTTTGATTTTTTCTGCCAATTCAAGGTTAAACTTACAAGCCTATGCAGATGCTGATTGGGCTGCCTGCATTGATACTAGAAAATCTATTTTTGGTTTCTGTGTTTTTCTTGGTGATTCCCTCCTCTCTTGGAAGTCCAAGAAACAAACAATTGTTAGTCCAAGATGCTTTGGCAAGTGAATTAACCTGGCTGCAAAATTTATTAATGGATTTTGGCATTACTCCTAAGCCATCTTTATTGTTTTGTGACAATAGCTGCAATTCACATTGCTACCAATCCCACATTCCATGAGCGCACAAAACATATAGAAATATATTGTCATTTTGTTAGAAAGAAAGTCAATTTTGGTGCATTGAAACTCGTTCATGTTCCTTCCAAACACCAATTGGCTAATGTCTTCACCAAGCCTCTTCCTCAGTAGCAATTTCATTCTCTAATTGGCAAGATGGGTGTTCTTAACATATTCACTCCATCTTGAGGGGGAGTATTACACTGTTACAGCTTGTTATTTCAGTTAGAGTTTGCTAGCTCGTTCTGTTGATCCTTTGATCTTTCTTCTTGTATAAATAGTGTCATCTACGCGTACATAGTTAAAAAAATGAGAAATTCATTCTCGTTCATCTGTATTCTTTTCTCTGCCACTTCCATGCATAATAACAACAGTTTAATTTCAATAGCAATCTAATGGAGATATTCAATTTCACCATAAAAGAAGAGACAAAACACATAGAACACTAACATCAAACATACAAAAAACGTAATAGGAGAAAAACGTCAATCACCACAAATGGGACATAATGAAAGTGTTTTCATCACTCATTGTGGTTCAAATGTATCTTGAGAGAAGTTGGTTTAATCGTTGTCGCCATCATCACTCAAAAATCCTCGCATACGAGAGAAAAAAAACTTTAGGGCAATTAAAACACAACTTTTAAAAAATGTATCGCATTTTTTTAAGTCAATTATTTTTGGGTCTGACCAGAATTGGATGACGTGAAAAACCTATTTTGCCCTAGTACTTGATATCATCTTATAAATTATAAGATATCTAACTTAATCCTATAAAATTAGAATTTATTTTTTTAATATGATTAATTTTAATATAAAATAAAAAGTTATATATATATATATATATATATATATATATAATTTATATTTTTTTTAATGTTATCCATTATCATTTAATTTGTGTTTTAAGCAAATATAGAAGATTGTAAGTTTATTGACGACTGCCATACTTTTTGGCAAAACAAACATATTCTATACGTTAATGAAGTCTTTCACTGTCGTACTAACCATCATTAATTTCATGTTAATTTTTTAACTTTTTCTTTAAACAAATTATTGTTTTGATACAACTAAAATTTGTTTCTTATTTAAGAAATTAAGTGAATGACAATTTATATACATTTTTTTTTTACTTCACTAAATTGCTTTTCGAGATCAAAACTAAAATCAAATTATAATTCTAAAATAAATAATATTTTAAATATAATAATTAATCCGAATAATATTTAGATAGGAACCATCTAAAATTAATTATATTTTATGTTATTTGTATCTTATTTTAATTCGACATGATGAGAAAGGTGTGAATAGAGGAACTTCCTCAATCTAATTTTTCCTAACGGCGTTTTTAAGCGACGCCATATGATTATAAATCTCTCACGTACATGTAATAATTGATAATTGATTAACCATGAGGTAAAAATGTATACTTTTTTTCCTGATGTTTTGGCCTTACCTTATTCTTAATAATAATAATAATATTATTATTATTATTATTAATATGATAAAATATGTTAATTAACACGATTATAAACCCAATTTACACTATCGGTTGGTTATTAATGGTCAATTTGTTAATATTTTTATATAATATTTTTTTATATATTTTTGAAAAATATATATTTAATTATATAAATACTTTTATCTAATAAATTTAAAAAAAATATTACATTTTATATAATAAAATATTTACTTATAATTTATAATTAATTATTTATTATTTAATTTATAATATTATAATATATTAACTTACTACAAAATATAATGTATTTAATTATAATATTTTTTTATTTAAATTTTAATGTATAAATATTTTTTTAAATACTTTATCTCATATTATCCTTACCCACCAAATGACTCAATTAGATATTAAATGAGATTGTAGACTTGTTTATTAAGCCTAACTCAGCATCTCTAATGAGAATTGTTAGTAAGAGTTAATAAAAAGTAAATATTTTAATAAATATTTTATTGTGAGTTTTATATTTGAATTACTTAAAGATAGAGAAAGTTGTTTTAAAATTAAAAAAAATAATTTAAATAAACAATTTTAATTATATTTTAAGCATAAAATTTATAATAAAATATTTAATTTTTTTATTAAACAGTTGAAATTTTTTTTTTAATATGAAGTTAATAATAATAATAATAATTAATATTATTATATTATTATATAATGCTTCCCGGTCTTCTCTCCCACATGCCTCACTCTTTTTTAGTCTCTCTCACTTTTGTTCACTTTCCAAGTGTTTTTCTTCCATTCAGCATTTCCCACTGCCACACTAACTGGGAATCTTTGTTCTGTCTTATTAGCCATTTTTTTGTACCGACACTCTTTTTTCCCTCTCTTTATAAGTTGTTTGAAAGAGAAGGTTGAAAAAGAAGAAAAGATTAGTGTTTGCAGGTAGAGAATTGATGAAGGAAGGAGGTGGTAGAAAGCAGGGTGCAGCCTCACCCTGTGCTGCATGCAAGCTTCTAAGAAGAAGGTGTGCTCAGGATTGTGTTTTTGCTCCATATTTTCCAGCAGATGAACCCCAAAAGTTTGCAAATGTTCACAAGGTCTTTGGTGCTAGCAATGTCAACAAGATGCTTCAGGTTCACTCTCTTTTTTATTCCCTATCTCTTGTTTTTTTCTTCCCAATTTTCTCTACATCTTCCTCACTACCCCACATGTCTTGCTTTCCCAAATTGTCAATATTCATCAATGTTTTTTTCATTGCACTTTGCTCCTCATTCCCTCACAATGCATACACACACATTATCTTTCGGAAAAAAAATCTCAGATGGTTTATGTTTTTAAAAGCATCATGTGTACATGAAATATGCTATGTTGTCCTTTTTTGTTGCATAGAATTTTGTTAGAATGAACTTTGGAGCTTCTTTATTTTGGATTTTTAGGTTTTAAATTATTAGATTTTAATATGAAGGCATATATATATGTCACGATCTGGTGACAGAAACATATTTCTTTTTGCTCTATAAGATTTAAACTAACGGTCAAAAACCTACCTAATTAATTTAATCAGACTCGTGATTCTAGCATGTTAAAAAGTAAGAAATTCAAGACAAAATTTTGATTTAGTTATATTTATTTTATATAAATGTCGAAAATAAAAATAACTAAATTAAAAAAAAAAACACTTGACAATCGCTAAAAGCAGTCAAAATTAAGTCTTCCAATTTACTAATTATATCAATACTAATAACTTTTTAAAAAATATACTTTTAACAAAAAATTTCAAACATATTAAATTCAACAATTAAATTGCGTTCTTAAATTAATGCAATGTACCTTGTGTCTATAGGCTTCTGAGTTCTAACTTTTTCTATGAACATAATTTATCTTATTTTGTAAGATTTTTTACATTTGTCAAAACTAAAAAATTCTAGATAAAATAAATTCCCAAATTATTTTTTAATACTTATAATTTAATTTATACGAAAATTTTTATAAGTTATTTTGAATATTTCGCCCCTTCTACTTAATGATAGGTTGTTGAAAAATTTTCACTTTTCCGAGCATCACGAAAAGGCACCTCTACTAAAATCTTGGGGACACGCCACATGAAGGAGATCTTCAAATTATTCGGATGTAAACACTATCCAAACATAATTATTTAGGGTTTTTTAACTATTTATTTAATCCAAAAAGTTCAAGATCATCAATTAAAAAATGGAAATTTCTGCTAATATTTTTGAACCATATTGTGCTATTTCTTTTATGTGTCTTTTAACTAATGGTTTATACGATAAAAGGTCATTTTTGTACACATAAAAAGGAATTTTTATTTTTTTATTTGCACGAGCTTAAGTATAGACAACAGTTAATTTTGAAAAAAAAAATAGAGAGAGAAATATCATTAAATGACCTTTTCATAATTATGATTTATCATCAAAAGTTTTGTTTATAATAAAATAAAAGTGTATCACATATTTAATTCTTCAAAGAGAATTATTATATTTTTTTAAACAAAACCAAAAAGTAATTTATCAAAAAATGAAATATGGATGGGTTTATATATTTTATAAGAAATAATAAAAAATATTTCAAATGAATTATACATTCACAGCAGCGTGACATTTTCTTTCAAAAGAGAAGACCAAGAAGATTGGATGCATTGTTTTTCATCATCATCATCTCTTTGTCTTGTCTTTTATTTTAATTAATCTTTTTGTATTTCAATAAATATTACAATCAATGCCTTGCCACTCAAAGTTCACATGTGTGTAAATTGTAGGTTTTAATTAAAAATATAAAAAAAATAAAAGCATCATAAGTGCTTTAAAGTTTAAAGTTAAACCCCCACCACATCTTTAGCAAAAATTTCTACACCTAAAAGCCCCACCAAATAAGCGTTCTTTTTTTCTAATATTGATAACGAATTCTTCTCTCTCTCTCTCTCTAATGTAAAATATAATTACATATTAAGATTGATTTATGTGAATGATTAACGTTGTTATATGCTTGAGTAGGCTTCTTTAATTTTTCTTTATTTCTAACGACTGAAACAGAGTGATACGCGTAAAGGTGTACTATGGTGACTGAATAGTTGTTTAAATTAAAAAAAAAAAAAGCAGATTAACTTGTTTAATTATTTAAAAAATTTAACCTTTTATTTTCTTTCATTGTCATTTGGCTATATGGGGGAACCAATGGGAGATTTCAAACGTGATTTTGGCACCCAAAGTCAAGGTTAAGCACGAATTGTGGCGTTGTTATGCATAAGCAACCACATGTTTAGGTTTAGGTTTTGGTGAAAACATAACAAGTGTGAATTTTTCTCAGGATCTACCAATGCATCAACGAGGGGATGCAGTGAGTAGCATGGTGTATGAAGCGAATGCCAGAGTGAGAGACCCTGTTTATGGGTGTGTTGGGGCAATCTCTTCTCTTCAGCAACAAATTGATGTGCTACAGACCCAATTGGCCCTGGCCCAGGCTGAGGTAGCCCACCTTAGGGTGAGACAAAATAGGTGTTTTTTCAATCATGGGCCTACGCCCACCAGCCCAACCAATAGTGGGTTTCCATCATCCAAGACCTTGGACTCACATTCCAAGCCTATTTTTGACATGGATATGGTGGTGGACCAGGGCAGCTATGATGGTTCCATGTGGTCATGACTTATGCTTATACAATAATAATTATTATTATTATTATTATTATTATAGTACAGTTAGTAAGTATCTATTAAGTAGAGAAAATAGGAAAAAAATTATTGGCTTACACTTCCACTTGGGGTGAATGTTGCAGTGGTGGTGCCGACGGTGGGCAGCCACCGTGGGGATGGAGGAGCTGTGGTGGAGGCCGTTCGCCCGCTTGATTAATCTTGGTTTTTGGGGAAGGATTTTTCATTGAAGAAGTTAAGGTGTAAATATTATTATTACTTTGTTTGAATGGGACAAGTTTATATGAAGTGAGTGTATTTGGAATCTATGGCAAATGTGAAATGGTTGCATGGAAATAATAATAATAGTAATAACAGTAAAATTAATAATAATAATACTAATTATTATTATTATTACTATTATTATTATTATTATTATTATTATTATTATTATTATTATTATTATTATTATTATTGTCTATCCTCTGTTTTTTTTTTTTTTAATTATTGTACTTTAACTTAGCCATGGTATGAATTTAGGTGTGGAGTATGTAAAGCATTATTTATGAAATAAAATAAATTTAATGAGTGAAAACTATTAAGATGGTTCACTTACCTTATGATATACGAAATGATGTTCTCACTTGCCGTAATTGAGAGGGCAATTTTCTTGTCAAACATATTAATTTTTTTTTTTACAAACTAAAATTAGCTTGTAATAAGTTTATCATAACAAATTAATTTGTAAATTTATTCTCGCGTATTTTTACTTCTTTAGTTTTTTTTTGGGGTATTATTTAGGTATTACTTATCTAAATGATAAAATAAAATGAGGTAGTGTATCCATCATTAATTCATACAAAAAATGTAACAACTCGTTATTATTATAACAAATTACATATTTTATTTTGTTTTTATTTTGTTTCATCAAAAGATAGATTGATGAATTAGTATACAAGTTTTGCAATGTTTATATATATATATATATATATATATATATATATATATTTAAAAATATATCTTTAATTAAATGAATAATATTTAAGTTTTTATTTATTAATTAATATTTTTATTAAATAAATTTATAAAATATTATATTTGTGTATTAAAATAATATAATTAATTAATTTTTATAATTTAAATTACAATATTATAATATATTTTTATATTTTAATAATATAAAAAATATAATATTTTTAATTATACTTATTTATGTTTATATTTGAATATAAATATTATTTTTAAAAGTAGGTCAACGAGTTAACTTATCTAGCTCGTCCTTATTTGGTCATGTTGACACATTGGATGAAATGAGCTAAAAATGGTTAGTGAATTAACTCATCCATATTTTTTAAACAGACTGTAGATTAATGGGTTAAATCTAACTTATTTTGTCACTCAATTAAGAGATCACATATAATTTTAATGATAACAATAAAATATATAAATAAAATAGAGAATAATTAAATATTGTAATTATAAGTTATAATAATATTAAATTATTTTTATAATATAATTATATAATAATAATTAAATTATCGTAGTTTTTATTATATAATTTAGTTATAGTTAATAATAAAAAATATAAATTTAATAATACAATAATAATATTAATAATTATAATCATATTATTTTATTATTAATATTAATAATATTTGTTTTAATAATAATAGTATAAATTTAATTATTATTATTTATTTTATTAATAATATAAAAATTATTATTGATTATAATAATTATTATACTATAATAACCAAAGTCCAAGTATATATATATATATATATATATAACTTCTCTTGAAATTAAAATCATATTATAAAATATGATTTCTTTTGATTCATATTTATCTAAATCCGTACTTTTTAAGAATTTATTCATATTTATAAATAAAAAAAATACCATTTCGATAAAAATGTACATTTTTCATTCACCATTTGATTTGAAAATTTATATTATCTTAACTATATAATTTATTAAAATCAAACAGAATAAATTTTTTAAAATTTATTCATATTTATAAATAAAAAATATACCATTACGATAAAAAAATGTACATTTTTCATTCAACATTTGATTTATAAATTTATATTATCTTAACTATATAATTTATTAAAATCAAACAGAAGAAAACTGAGTTAGTTATATTTTAATATATTAAAAATAGACATTATATACATTAATATGAAATTTAGAAGAGATAGTTGACATTAAAAAACGCTCTAATAGTGAATGTTTATAAAAAAAATAGTTAAAAATTATTAAATAATGTTATATTAACGAATCTTAAATTTGTATAATTTGAAATTATTGGATGTTTAAATGGTCAGATAAGCGTTGAAATTTTTGGATGTTTAAATGGTGAGAATAAGCGTTGAAATTTTTGGATGTTATATTAGCAACTGCAATTATTTTTCATCCAATATCTTAATTTAATGAATTTTTATAACTCAACAAAAAAAAATCAGATTTTTCTTATTGAATCGAATGAAATCATTTTTAATATGTAGTTTAAATAGGTCTACATGTCTGTGCTAATCTGATCATATCCAATAAAATATAATTAATATATTTAAATATTTATTTTAATACCTATAATAAAATATAAATGTAAATATGCATGTAAATTTCAAAGATTTAGAATATATATATGAAACATTTGTTAACCATATTTTAAGATATTATTACTTTTTATTAAATTGTGACAAAAATAAGATATGAGATAAATGTTTATATATTTATATGTACAAGATATGAATTTTACAAGTTTACATTGTTTTTATATCAGAAATAATAGTTAAATTTGATAAAAAAATTATTCTAACAATGGTTGATTTATCAATAATATGTGTCTTTGATTTTTAATGTTTCCATTTATTTATGTTGATATTTTAGTTATAACATACACAAGAAATAACAATAAGGAGGTGAAAACAATTATCATTTAAAATAATATAATCTTATAATGATATATAAACTATATTTTTCACCTTCCTCAACATAATATTATAAAAATTTGAAATAAATTTGTAGTGACTAATCAAGATAAATGAGTTTAGTTTTAATCACTCTCTCAATTATATTTATTAATTTTAATCTCCATGGTCTAATTTTCATCTATAATATCATCAAATTTTCATAAATATATATTATAATTTAAAAATAATTAAATAATATAAATATAAATTAATAAATAGGATCAGATAAAATAAATAAGACCAAGTAATAGAGATAAATAAAATATGATTAGTACATAACTGAATACAAATAAATTAATATAAAACAGAGATTAGTACATAATTGATGATAAATTAAAAAAACAAACAGGACGAATACCTAATTAAAGATAAAAAAAGATTTAATAAAATATAAAGACCTATTGGTTATTATGGAAAGTCAGAATAAAATAAAATAAAAACTTACGGTAACCAATGAACATAGTTAATGAAAGATTATTAAGGTTTTATGTCTAGTCATAATGTTATTCTCACAATAAACCATTAGAAAAGTGTGACAAGAGAAAGAAAGACAAAGACATTGAATAACACATTCTTCATTATATATCTCTCATAGAACAAGATTAGTCTCCTTATTATGATTTATGTTATTATCTGAGAATCATGAATCTAAGATATAGTTTTCTTGAATGAATGAGAAACATAAGAAAACTATATAATTAAGATACATGTGTATCAGAGCATGTTATTAGATTTATGATTCCACTGTGATAGTTATTCTCAAATTAAGATAAACTTTAATTATGAATTTAGGTATTTTTCTATCAAGTTAACATGAACCCTGGTTTATTCCTCAAATTGTTTTTCCCAAAATTGAATAAAGGAATAAACCCTAATTTATGTATGAAATTGGTTTCACTCCATAATTATGATGATGGAATACATGTTATAATTATGATAAAAGAAATATAAACGGTAGAGTTGATGTTTGAATGTTATTATGTCGGCATGTATCATGCACGTGATCGCAGAACACACGTGCCAAACAGATGTTCTTTTTTCGATTAATGCATTATTATTATTATTATTATTATTATTATATGTTTTATTTTTTTGTACTTGAATAATTAGCAGTTACATTATATCAACTTCTATGATTTTTTGGTAGTAAATAATTAGTAGTTACGTTAAATCTACCTATTATTTTGTCCATGTTTTATACATGTTACATGTAGTAAATGTTTGGTGAGTGCTAATAATGCATTGTCACAATATGTGTCTAGTTTTATTGTATGTAGTGGTACATTGATAAATGAATGGTTGTCACTATTATGAGATGTACCGGTGTATAAATGTCTTAATTGTAAATTTTGTTTTGCAAATTGAATTAAATTATTTCCGCTACAAGTTGCGCATAAAAGTTTATAAAATAAAGTTCTTATATTGAAAATCAATCCTATAATAGAAATTGAATTATGAGTTTTAATTTTATTTGTGATACATAATATTTTATCATGTGAATAATGTACATATTTATTAAAATTAATAAAAATTGCTATGAATGGTTAATAACAATTAAATATGTTATTTATTTGAAATTAAGTATGATAAATTTTGTTAGTCATCAAAATAATAAAAATTTTAAGGTTATTTGATTTCAAATTATTGATTTATGGGTTAATTGAAGTTCATTATTATAAAGTATTTCAAAATCACTAAAAGATTGATTAATTGTTATTATAATTAATGAACATAAAAATAAATAATTTTAATTGCGTTAGTTTTATTTATATATCTAAAGTATTAGGTGATTCTAGTTGATGCATATTTTAATTATTATTATTAATGTTATAAATGATTAGCGTTATTATATCTGGGTATTAATGGATCTCTCAAAGAAGAACAATTCATAAAATAATGATAAATATTGCAGTTCCCTAACTTAAAAATTATAAATGATGTGCCAAAATTTTAAAAAATAACTTTTCTCTTTTCTTCTCCCTGTATGAATTCATCTCCTACTCATCTCTTTTATAACCAATTTATTTTCTTTTTAATTTATTCAATTTAGTCATTAAATGCATTAATAATAAAACTTATTTTTTGAAATAAGTTAACTTTATCCTTTTTTAGAAAAAAATTAATAATTAATATTTTTCTTATTTTACTTTTATAAATTAAATAATAATAATAATTTATAAATATATATATATATATATATATTATAATAATTTAACAATAATAATAATTTTATTTTAATAAATAC